CCCAGAAACATACAGCATGCCAAGACTGAATCATGAAGAAAGAGAAAATCTAACTAGACCAATAAGGACTAAAGAGATTGAGTCATCAAGTTTCCCAACAGGACTTCCCTGGTGGTCCAGAGGTTAAGAATCTGCCTGCCAATGCCGGGGATGTGGGTTCGATCCCTGGTCCAGGGGGATCCCACACACCGCAGGGCAACTAAGCCTGCACGCCACAACCACGGAGCCTGAGGGCTCTAGAGCTGGAGGCCCACAAGGAGAGAAGCCAGCGCAGTGAGAAGCCGGCCCACCACCCACTGGAGCGGGGCCCCACTGGCTGCAACTGGAGAGCCTGAGCTGCAACAAAGAGCCAGCGCAGCCGACAGACAGACAAACAAGACTTAAAAACTCTCCCAGCAAAGAGGGCCCAGTCCCAGACGGCTTCACTGGTGAATTCTGCCAAACCCTTAAGGAAGAATCAGTGCTAATGCTTTTCAAATCCCTCCAAAAATTTTTAGAGGGGTGAATTCTCTCATACTCATTTCACAAGGCCAGCCTTATTATCTTGATAACAAAGCTGAATAAGGGCACTGCAAGAAAAGGAAACTATAGACTTATATCCGTGAAGAATATGGATATAGAGATTCTCAACAGGGGACGAACAATAGCACATTAAAGGATCATACACCATAATCAAGTGGGATTTATCCCTGGGATGAAGGATGGTTCAAGATATGTAAATCGAGAAATGTGATAAAAACACATTAATAGTAAAGGGTAGAATTACATGAGTATCTCCACACATGCAAAAAAAAAGCATTTGACAAAATTCAACATACTTTTATGTTAAAGTCTCCACAAATTTGGTATAGAAGGAATTTAAGTCAGCATAATACAGGGCATATAGGACAATCGCAGGTAACATCATGGTGGTGAAAGGCTGAGAGCTTTCCTGTTTGTTTTTTTTTTTTAAAGAAATTTTTTATTTTGTTTTGATGGCTCAGCATGTGGGATCTGTTTCCCAACCAGGGATAGAACCTGCACCCTTCCGCCAACAGGGGACAAGCGGAGTCGTAACCACTGGACTGCCAGGGAAGTCCCTCTTTTTAAGATCAGAAACAAGGGCCTCATCCGCTGCCACCTCCTTCTCCTGTTGTTGTCAATCTTTCCCAGCATCAGGGTCTTTCCTAATGAGTCAGCTCTTTGTATCAGATGGCCAGAGTGTTGGAGCTTCAGCTTCAGCATCAGAGGGTGAGATGGTTGGAACAGCATCACTGACTCTATGGACATGAATATGAGCAAACTGCAGGAGACAGTGAAGGACAGAAGAGCCTGGCGTGCTGCAGTCCGTGAGGATGCAAAGAGTCGGACACGACTTAGCGACATGATCCAGCAATCTCACTTCTGGGCAATAATCTGAAGGACATGAAATCACTATCTCAAACAGCTATATGCCCCCTTCAAGTTCACTGCAGCAGCACTCAAAATATCTAAGACAAAAAACAACCTAAGTATGGGTGAATAGGGGAAATGTAGTATATAATGAAGTGTATGAATATCATCATAAAAATGAGGAAATCCTGCCATTTATGACAGCATGAACTTACATTGAGGGTATCATGCTAAAGAAAAGTAAGCCAGACAGACGGACAAGTACTGTATGATCTCAGTTATATGTGGAATCTAAAAAAATCAAACTCATAGAAACAAAGAGTGTATTGGTGGTTGGCAGAGGCTAGGGAGTGGGGGAAATGGGGAGATTTTGATCAAAATATAGAAACACATAGTTACAAGATGAATGCATCTGGGCTGTGTAATGTGCAGCACGCGGACTAGTTAACAATACTGTACTGCGTACCTGCAAGTTGCTAGGAGAGCAAATCGTACATGTTCTCACCACACACCTGTAACTAGGTGACCTGATGGGTGTGTTAGGCAACCTTATTGTGGTCATCATCTCACAGTATATACCTAAACACAGAGCAAATTATCACATCAAACACCTCAAACTTACTCAATATCATGTCATTTATCTCAATGAAACTCCACAAAATGATTTGCTAAACTTGAAAAAAACTTTGACCAAGAGGGATTTGAGGCTGCTTCAGTATTCAAGTCATTAATGTAATGTACTACATTAACAGAATGAGTAAAAATATCACACATGATCATCTCCATAGTCACATACACAGCAAGCATTTGCTGAAATCCAACAACCTTTCATGATAAAAACACCCAACAAAACAGGAATAGAAGGGAACTTTCTCAACCTGATAAATGCAACTGCCCCTGCCCCAGCCCAGTTAACATCATACATACCCTGCGGTCAAAGACTGGATGCTTCTCTCCTAAGAGCAGAACAAGTCAAAGATACCTGCTCTGCTACTTTTTAAAAATTTTATTTTGGGGGCTACACCATGTGGCATTTAGGATCATAGTTCCTGACCAGGGATTGAACCCAAGCTCCTTACGTTGGCAGAGTGGAGTTTTAACCACTGGACCACCAGGGAAGTCCCTGCTCTGCTACTTCTATTTGATGTTGTGTTGGGAGGTTCTGGCCTGGGAATTAGGTGAGAAGAAATAAAAGGCATCCAGACTGAAAAGGAAGAAGTACAACTAACTCTATTCCCAGAGGTCCAGGACCTCATGTACAGAAAATCCTAATAAATCCTCCAAAAGGCCGTTATAACTAATCAGGTTGCAGGAAACAAAGTCAAGGTCAATGAAAATTCCCAGAGTCACCCTCTATCCCTGCTCTTTCTAGGAACTCACATCCCAGCCATCAGGGGATGGTCTCCCTGCTTCCTTCCTTGTCCTTCCTGCCACCTACTCTTCACCCAGCAACCAGAACGACCCCTCTAAGGGGTCAGTTACATCCTTCCTCCCCATGTTCAAAGTCCTTCCACGGACTCCCCAGGTGGCCCTAGTGGTAAAGAACATGGCTACCAATGCAGGAAACCTGAGAGACGGTCAAGCCCAGGGTCAAGAAGATCCCCTGGAGGAGGGCATGGCAACCCACTCCAGTCTTCTGGCCTGGAGAATCCTATGCACAGAGGAGCCTGGCGGGCTACAGTCCATGGGGTTGCAGAGTGGGACACGACTGAGCACGCTTGGCTTCCCATCCCAGAGAACCGGGTCAAGGTTCTTCCTGTGCAGGGTCTGCACCACCCCTCCCCCACACCTCTTTCCTACCAGTGTCCCTGGATCCTGGGTTCAAACCTCCCCTTTTCTTTCATACCTGGCACTCCCGTCTCAGGCTCTCTGCACCTGCTGTCCCCCTGCCCAGACCCCAGCTGCCTGGGTACTCTCCTGCTTGCCCTTCAGTTCCTGCAGGTCTTTGCTCAAATGCCCCCTTGCAGCTTCCCTAGCCTGCCCACCCCCAGATCCGTCTACCCTTTCACCTCCTCCGTCCTATACATGCAGGCACACTCTTTCAGCTCCCTGGGGGCTGAGAGTGGCAGGAATTTGTGTTTTGTCCCCTGCTGTGAGCCACAGTGCGGCTTCTGCCTGCACAGGACTGTTTGTGGCTGGGCCCTGGAGTCTGAGTCACTTGACAACCTGGGTCTTCTCTGGCTTAGGACGCTGGGTGAAGTGGAGGCTGGGAGCCATGGTCACCTTCCTCCTGGGGCCCCTTACTCATAGGAAACTGTCTCTTTTCTGCTGTCCTCCAGGCCTTGGGCTCTGGAAGGCTGGTGTCTGGCAGAGAAACCAGCAGCCCTTTCTTAGGGCTTTCTGAAGTGTTAGGCGGGGAGGTCCTCAGGTGAGCATCACACACACAGGGGGTCTGGCCATGTTATTAGCCCAACACAGGCCCTGTGGTGGTGACTTCGTCCGGACGGAGCCAGCCCCTTTTGGAAGACGTGCCTGAGGCCCGTCCCCAAGGCCACACTCATGGGTGAGGACCGTGCAGTTTGTCTCAGGTGTCCGGACGCCCACCCTCCCCGGACCGGGCTCTGGATTCCATGGCTAGTGCCCACGCGGGGCGCTCCAAGGCACGGATGGTCCCAGCAGGCTCCAGGAGCTGCAGAGGGAGGGGGTTTCCCTGGCTGCCAGGGCCGCGGGGTGCGGTGGGGGGCGTGTATTCCAGAGGCGGCTCTCTCGGCTTGGGGTCCCCGGGCTCCCAGCACCCTGAGGTAGGAGGCGCCCTCAGGCTCTTTGGGTTACTTGACTGCGGGGTGGTTCTCTGGGTATCGAGGTCCGCTATGGGGGGAAGGCGGCTCCCCGTGCTGCGATCCCAGAGTGTGGTGGTGGTGGGGCGGGGGAACCGCGGGGCTGCTCTCGGGCGCGGGGCCGCAGGCGCCGAGCGCTTCCCCAGGTCGCCGTTGGCCTCCACAGGAGCTCCGCCCGTGGGGCGGCGGCTGGGGTCCAGCGGTCCGGACGACCCAGCGCTGGGGAAAGGGGAGTTGCAGCCCAGACAAAGAGATGCTGAGGGACCCGCCGGGGCCTGTCCGCTAGCGCGCCCCGGGCGCGCGACCCCGCGCCCGCGCCCGCGAGAAAGGGCGGGGCCTCGACGCGGCACCCACTGCGCCTGCGCAAAGGGGCGGGGCGGGCGCGGGCAACCGCCGGCTGCGCCTGCGCAAAGGGGCGGGGAGCGCGCGGGCCGGCGGCCGCGCCCACTGCGCCTGCGCCGGCCTCGGCGGGGTGTGTGTGTGGTGTGTGCGCGCGCTCCCGCCGGTGGGCCGCCTCCTCAGCCGCCGCCACCGCCGCCCTCGGGTCCGCGCACGCGCCCCCCGCCCCGGCCCGAGGCCTCGGCCCGCGCCCCCCGCTCCCCGCCCCGGCCCCGCGGGCCCCGGCTCAGCCGCGCAGCATGCAGCAGCAGCACCCGCGGCGGCGGCGGCGCCGGCGGCTCTGAGGTGAGGCGGCGCGGGCGCGGGCCGGGGCGGCGAGCCGGGGGGGCGCGGGGCGAGCGGGCGGCCGGTGACCGGTGGCCCCACGCGGGTCCCGGGCGCGGCGAGGGGCGCGGCGCCTTTGTCCCGCGCGGCCCGGCGCGGCCCGCGCTGCAGCGGCCCTTTTGTGTGCAGATGGTGGACGCGGGCGGCTGCCCGGCCGGGGAGGGCTGGAGGAGGATGGAGGCCGCGCCCGACGGCGCCGTGGACATCGTGCCCCTGGACCGCTACGACCCGGCGCGGGCCAAGATCGCCGCCAACCTGCAGTGGATCTGCGCCAAGGCCTACGGCCGAGGTGGGCCGGGCGCGGGGGAGGGGCCGGGCCGGCCTTTGTGCGGTGTCCCTGCGCGCGGGGTTGGGGGGCGCCGGTCACGCAGGAGCGGCGATGGTTAGCGCGCCCCTGCACCCCGCGGCCGAACGCTGTTCTGTGCGGGCGGGAGTCCCGGGCCGAAACCCTGGTGACCCCTGCCCTTCTCCAGTCTGTCCGAATCCCCGGTGTGGGATCCCCTAACGAGCATTCCTTTCGGATGGATCGGGCTTCATTCGAGTTGCTCCCTTTGGTTAATTCCAGTTTTGAAGAACTGGGTAACCTTGTTACTGGTTAGGCCTTAAATATGCTTAGTGGATTTAAGACGCTCCTATTCTTCCAGCTCTCGCGGTTTTACAGGCCCGAGTGATTCTCCTGATTATTGCTTGGCTCCGAGGGCTTTCTTTGATTAATTTCAGGTGCTTTGTTTCAGGTGCAAAATCGAGAGGGAGTTCTGTGTCATCTTTCTTTTCATTTGAAGCATTTGTTTGAAAATTGCCTTTGTTCTGGGGAACGGTTCTTGTTTGTGGAGTGAGACAGAAAAGGAGAGAGACTCTTTTCAAAAAAAGAAAGAAAAAAAAAAAAAACCGTCTGGTTGACCGGTTTTGAAAACTTGCTGAACGGGGCGGTTCCCGGTGACAGGATCTCACCGGTTGGAGTGGCCTGTGCTGTGGATGGAGTCGGTCTGGAGCACAGACACACCCTGCAAGTCTTGGGGATTAAAGGTGGGGCCTCATTTTAAGTTGGTTTATATCTACGGAGAGAGCTTCTCCCCTCCCCCCCCCCTTATTTTGTAGTTTTCAGTGTTACAGTTTTTTTTTTTTATACTTCCACCAAGTTTTCTGTTTCTGTGTAGTACGATGGGGAAACAGTGATTTTGGGGAAAATACAGAATTGGTAAAAAGCATGTATGAAGTTTTGGGGACTTCTCTGGCAGTCCAGTGGTTAACACCCTGTTCTTGTAACGTAGGCAGCACAAGTTCAGTTCCTGGTTGGGGAACTAAGATCTTGCATGCTTTGGAGCAGCCAGGGGGGAAAAAGCCTATATGAAGTTTTAGAGTACAGGGTAAGGATTGAGTCATCCTCGAGTGGCTACTCAGGTGTCCAGCGGTCAGTTTAAGGAAAAGGACGTGGCTGTTGAACCTTGCGGGGCAGTGTGTCCCCAGTCCGTGGCCTCCCCTTACGCCTGCCTCTTGTCTTGGGTTGACTGCTGGTTTGCTTTTTTTTATGTGTACCACATATTTTTACGTCACTGAACTCTTCTGGTTTAGTTCTGTGTGTTTTTGCGCCTCATCAGGTTCTTGGGTTCCTCCTCGGGTCCTCCCGTGTCCGCCTCCTTGCTTTTCCAGTGCTGTGTGGTATTTCACAGGAAGCCTGCTCACTGTTGCCTGGTACTGTCTGGCTGGCCTCCAGTTATCCTGTGCTTTGCCACAGCGCGTTCTCCGGCATGGCTCTTGGGGCGCGTGTGCAGCGTCACTGCTGTGTGTATTTTTAAGATTTTTGCATATGGAGGTGGCTGAGGTTTTGGGACTGAATGCTGTACAGACACGAATGCTTCTAAAAAGCCCTCTCGTTGTTTGCTCTCCAATTTCTTAAGCTTAGTGAATGCATTTTTATCCTGTTGCATTTAGCTTTGGCATCCAGCGTGGGATTTGTCAGCTCTCTGGCAATAAATATGCATCTCTCTCACTGTCAGGATTGGATTAGTCTGGTTTTATTTCCAGGACCAAATCACCCTTTATTACTCATTGGTGCTTCAGGTAATTAATTCAAGAGCTGATATGAAAACTGGTTCTAAAATTCTGAGATGACTGGGGGTGTGTATTTATAGAGCAGAGCATGAGCCGGGGCTGAAGGAGACTAGAGGCCATCTGAGATTCTGAGGCTGGGCTGCATGTTGCCCGTCCGCTGCCTCGGTGCATTCATCAAACACTAGATTTCGGGAGGTGTGCTTTCCATTCATTTTTGCAGAATGAGGATGCTTTTCTGGTCTGTACCTTGCCTTGGGGGGGTCACAGCCTGGTGGGAGGCTTTCCCTGTGACTCAGCGTGGGGTCTTGTGTTTCAGGAGATATGTGAGGTGGGGATTTTGGTAGAGGACTGTATAGATCTTTACCCCCAAACTCTCTTCTTCGTCCAAGGGCCTGTTCTTTGTTTCATCTTCTGGACACCTCTATGCGCCTCTCTAGCTTGGTTTTCAGTTAATTAGAAGTGATGGTGTCAGTATGCATGCTTTACTTGTCAGTCAGCTTTTGAGGGGGATGATGGTGAAAGTGACTTACATCTTTGCTTGTTACACAATTGTTCATTGAGTAGCTACACTGTTTGCATGGGAACTGAAAGCATGTGAACTCTCCAGGATGATGTGCTCTGAGGCCACCTTGTTGCGTGCATGCCTTTTGGGACTCGGGTCTCCCTGGGGCCCACCGTCTGCCATTGGTAGTAGTGGGGAGGCTCAGGCGAGCTCACCCTTGGCCGGGCCTGGAGGTGGCATGTGGTTGTGCAGAAAGGCTTCCTCCAGTTTTCCTCATCTGTGACACAGCTGAGAACTGTGGGCTGGCTTGTGCTTTTATTTTTAGATTCTTCTCTTTTTTGGGGGTGTAACTCTTGTTTCATTGACAGTGTCTTAATGATTTCTTTGGAAATAACGTTATCGGACATGTTGAAAGTTATTCACTTAAAAGAGTCATTAGAGTAGAACCTGCTTAGCTGGAATGTTTTTGTGATGTCCTTTTGGGTGAAAGTCTTAGTTGGTCAAGTTTAAAGGGGTGACTTGACGTTTATTTTACAGTACAGGGTGCGGGACTGGAGCTACTGCATTCCTGGCTTTTGATTTTGGGCCATGACCTTAGGAACCTTAAAGGTATTCGGGCCTGAGTCTCAGGGACAGTGGGGGAGTAACAGCTTCTGTTAGCACCTGAGGACGGTGTTGAGAAAGTAACCCACGGAAAGCACTCGGCTCTTTGTAGGTGTGTTGCTGTGTGACCGAGGAGCCCTGGAAACCAAGTGGCAGCTCGCTATGAGCAGAGCTGCCCTGAAGCAGGCGGCCCGGACCTAGAGGCCGCCAGGGTACCTCTTCCCTTTCTGTTGGCAGCTGGGGGGATTGGAGGGGCCGCCAGGCTCTCCAGAGCCCGCTGCTGGCGAGGGGCTGGCACTCCGGTCCCTCAGCACAGTCTCTTCGTTGACTGCTGACTTGGAAACCACGCTGTGGAATGGGAGACTGGGGCAGCCTTGAGCGGGGTCTTTGGAACCGGACCGCTGGTTGAGTCGCGCCCCCAGGCCAGCTCGGTGCTTGATGTTAGGAGCCGAGCCCCTCCTTGTGTGCTCCGGGGGCCACCGCGTTCCCTTGTTGTCCCACATCTGGCTGAGAGGGAGCACGTGGTCAGCACTCCTCCAGGCCCCAGAGCTGCGGATGGAGTGGCCGCTGTGCCCGTCCCGGGGCTGGCCCTCATTCATGAGCATGTCGGCAGGTTTTTTGTTGTTGTTGACAAGTTTTTTTGATATGATGATTTGTTCAGATGATTGGTTTTTGAGTTTTTCAGAAATATTTTTTTAATGTATTTAGAAAATCAGAGGATAATTATTTTCCAATGTTGTTCGTTTCTGCTGCACAACAACATGAATCAGCTGTATGTGCATATATATCCCTTCCCTCCTGAGGCTCCCTCCCTAGGTTTTGTATTTCCATAGTCTTTTGTTTTTAGCGTGGGATTTGGGTGCTGCTGAGATGGGAGGTGACAGGGCAGCCTGGGTGTGTCTCCTCAGTGGTACTAAGGACTAAGGGTCAGGGCGCTGGCTGACAGTGTGACCTGGCCTCCCCTTGGCCTGGGCGTGCTGAGAACTGCCCACGTCTGAGGTCAGAGTGGTTGTGGTGGTCCCATTCAGCGCCGTGTCCGCAGGACAGGGTCTGTGCTCATGTGTTTGTCAGGTTGCTTAAAGAGTTGGAAACGCCTTAGAAGCAGGTGGGGTAGGAAGACATCTGTCCTGGTGGCTCTATGTGGCTGAATTTTTATTTCTAAAGATACAACTCTTTGTACATGTTCTCTTTCCTATCCTGATGCCACAAATTAAATACTAACCAAAGAATGTAAATCTGTCTTTAAATTCAGACTGTCCCCATCTTTTGAATCAAAAGCGTTGGCCACTGTTGTGCTTTAGACTGTTAAGTTTGTGTAAGTGTTCTTACAAAGAGCCCTGGTATTTCTTTCTATTCCATTTATCCTCCTAATTGCTCACAGGTGTCCAAGCTGATTTTCTGGTGGCTGTATCACTGTTGTATGTACCAGTCTCCTTTTTCACTTCCTACATTGAAAAATTCAGATGGCTGTCATTTTTCATCTAATGTAAAGGTGACCAGGATGGAGCCAGTATCATGTTCATTTAATCAGTAACAGTCTCATAGCTATCACGGGCACGGTTGTGTTTTGCACTGTAGGAAGTACAAGGGGAGGAGTTATGTGATGTTCTTTCCTTATTTGCTGAAAATTCACATTAACTGTTGACATATACAAAGGAAAATGAAGTAATGCATGATGAAAAATGGCAGCATGTCCTTAGTTCGGGACCTGTCTCAAGGCAGAAGATGGAATTGTCAGATGTTCCCACGGGACCCGAGTGCCTGGGCTGCTGGGCGCCGTGGTCCCTGTGGGGGGTGCTTCATGGGGAGGTGGGCTTTGAAGGATGGCGGATATTTGGGTAGCTCCCCCGCCCCAGGAGTAGAGGGGAGGGCATCTGGTAGGTTCTGTGCAGAGGAGGAAGTGTTCGTAGGCCTGAGTCGATTAACCTTATTGTGACAAGAGGATTTGTGGACCGAAATAGTAGGTGATTAGTGTGGAAAATAGTGTGGGCCAGACTGTTCGTGGGGTTCCCAGCTGGCTAGGGATTTCTTTCCTTATGGGTGCCAGGGAAGGTCTTTGCGTAGGGGTGATGGGTTGAGAGCTAGCCTGGCAAGATTCTTCTGACAGGTTGGAGCGGGTAGGGGCTGTACCA